ATCCCTCTAAAGCACTTTCCCAGGCCTGCTGTTGGGTCTGAGACGGGTAGATCGGATGGAAAATAAGTCCTTTTGTGATGCCAGTCAGTTTGGAAAACAAGAGCCTGTTGAAATCTTCGCTGATCAAGACAGAGAAGAGTGAAGAATCTCCTCAGCGGCTGAGCGCGGATATGTGGTTTATTGTTTTTAGGGCTTTGAAACAGACACTTCCTGTGTGCTGACTGACCAACAGACTAGCAGACACATGACTCTGTGAGCTGGGTTATCTAGCTCCTCAGCTCTGAGACCTTCTGATGACAAAAGAGTCCATGGTTATAATGAGATGCCGTCAAAACCCTCAAAACTCCAAACTACCAATGAATAATAATAAATGCAAATCGACCAGGCTCCGCCCACAACTGTGTTCTTTCATAGCTACTGTTACAAGGTTGGATGGAACACCAGAGGTGGTTCTAGAGAATTCATTAGCTGTGGCAGAAGGGGTGGCATCAAATTTCAGAGAAACTCATTTAATTAACATTAGTCTCTTTCAGTCGCATAATACTACTAATTTTTACCAAAAAAATAGAAAATCCAAATTTGGCTGTCAAAAAAAGTAAAAACTCCATCACTTTAGAACATTTAGGACAAGTTCTGTGTTATTTTACATTTTTTAATACTAAATTTAGCTGAGTTTGTTCAATGAATCAGTTAAAACTGGCAACTCAATCGTAAGTGGCAACCCTAAACAACTATTGCTACAGTTTCTCATTAGGCTGAATGAATAACTGACTCTAAATGTAGGTATTGTGATATAAACTCAGTCTGTTCTACAGTTTCTCATTAGGTTGAATGAATAACCGACTCTAAATGTAGGTATTGTGATATAAACTGAGTCTGTTCTACAGTTTCTCATTAGGCTGAATGAATAACTGACTCTAAATGTAGGTATTGTGATATAAACTCAGTCTGTTCTACAGTTTCTCATTAGGCTGAATGAATAACTGACTCTAAATGTAGGTATTGTGGTATAAACTGAGTCTGTTCTACAGTTTCTCATTAGGTTGAATGAATAACCGACTCTAAATGTAGGTATTGTGATATAAACTGAGTCTGTTCTACAGTTTCTCATTAGGCTGAATGTGATTTTATTGGCGTTCTGTAAAGCTCCAGCCTCACAACAGTGGCTGTGAGTGTTTTGTGGGTGGAGCTTGGATAGGTCAGCTATGTCTCGTGTTAGTTGGAGTTAGTCCTTGTCTGTTTGGTCTCCCAGGCATTCAGTAGTGCTTATGCAAGACAGTCTGACAGGCTGACTGATGTTGGTGATGAGTCCAATCTGTTCGCCATGAGCAGTAGACGCTATGGAACATGGTTATCTTCCTGACCTCAAGTACCACCCCATTCATCAGAACCGACTGAGAGCCCAGCGTTTTTCTTTTTTTCTGCCCTTTCGCATCATCAAAGGCAGGTCCTAAAAGGCTCAGGGAAAGCAGTAGATCAGCATGATGTTACAGCTCTACTCACAACCAAGTTTTATTGCACCCACCGTCCAAGTGCCCGTATTAATCATACAGTAAATCAGTGCTATTTACTGTTGTAGCATTTTGACGGAGCGGTTGGGAACAGTCTGAAATGCTCCGTTAGCGCTGGATGAAAGCATCAGCATGACTTTGACATGGGTAATAACAACAAGATGGACTACACTCTGCGTTACGCTGCTTATGCCGAGCCTCTTGTAAAACCTGGAGTCTGTGGAGCTCCCAAAACCACAGCGGAGCGCTGACCAACACCGACGCCCGTCGCTCCAGCACTGTTTGGCTTTGTGTACTGGCGTACAGGCAGTTAACCTCACTGGGTTCTTCTTCAGATCTCTAGGATGTGCACAAGTTTCTCATAAAAACACAACTGGCTCATTGGCAGTGATAGTAGCCGGGAAAAAAAACGTGATAAAACTGTCAATCAACGTTAGCACTAGTGCAAAAAAAATCACATGCCTGCACCAACAACCACACATTGCCCTGATCATCCAGACTATCAAAAGTCAGCGAGATAAAACTCATAAATGTCTTTACTCGTTATATACAGCAGCTGCTCACTAACAGCGCTTTTGTTGCGCCTACTTAAAGGGCCCATATCACACACACAATTGTTATTTTTGACACAAGACTTTGATGTTGCTTGTAAACATGGCAAAAGTTTCAAAATTTATTCCCTAGAGTAAGTATGAAAACTGCAAAACAAAGACAATTCGAATTTGAACGGTGTTGTGATGTCACAAAAAACAACACATTTATATCTGCCCATCGAGCCTACAGCAGTTTAGCCCCACCCATTCAGCTACAGCAGTTTAGCTCCACCCATTCAGCTACAGCAGTTTAGCTCCACCATTCAGCTACAGCAGTTTAGCCCCGCCCATTCAGTCTACAGCAGTTTAGCCCCACCCATTCAGCTACAGCAGTTTAGCTCCACCATTCAGCTACAGCAGTTTAGCCCCACCATTCAGTCTACAGCAGTTTAGCTCCACCATTCAGTCTACAGCAGTTTAGCTCCACCATTCAGTCTACAGCAGTTTAGCCCCGCCCATTCAGTCTACAGCAGTTTAGCCCCACCATTCAGTCTACAGCAGTTTAGCCCCGCCATTCAGTCTACAGCAGTTTAGCTCCACCATTCAGCTACAGCAGTTTAGCTCCACCATTCAGCTACAGCAGTTTAGCTCCACCATTCAGCTACAGCAGTTTAGCCCCACCATTCAGGCTAAAGTGCTTTCACCCCACCCATTCAGCATACAGCAGTTTAGCCCCGCCCATTCAGGCTAAACTGGTTTCACCCCACCCATTCAGCATACAGCAGTTTAGCCCCGCCCATTCAGGCTAAAGTGGTTTCACCCCACCCATTCAGCCTAGAGCACATAAGCCACACCCATTCAGCCCACATCAATGTCCTGGTGCTTTTTCAACGAGCCAGGACAGCCAGTCAGAACGGCGCTCATTTGCGTATATCAGTCTGAAAGGCACAGTGTGCTTAATTCTATTGAAGAACAGAGATGCAGGTAAACGGGCCCTTTAAAGCGTTATCCACACTAAGTCTGCGCTCTTTAAGAACTTGCTGAAGACTGCTAGAAGTTTATATCTTTCACTGCTGCTGAGAACTTTAGTCAGATGCCAGAAACAGTTTTACTGAGAGCTCAGTTTTATTTGATTTTCTCAAACTGTTTCCCTTTTCTGGCCGACACGTTTGCTCTTCACAGAACTGAACTGAGTAAATTGACGATATTAATTAAAAACACAACTGTTTACTCAGTTTAATGCATTAATGATGAAGATTTTATTCTTTTTGTGGGTCTGGTTTGGACAGAATTAGCACTCATGTCCAGATTGTAATGTGGCCTGTGCTTTATCCATCCTGGGAGCTTTATAGGAGAAGGAAAAACCTTCTTAACTTTGGACTGAAGTTAATGGAACAAGTTATTTTGGATCATTTCTATTGGTGCATTCATCAGGAAATTTGAACACAAACAGCATTTTCAAATTCTGTCTAAAAACATTTAAACAACAAAAATGGTGATGGAGGTTTTGTCTTGACAGCAACGATATGGTCTTAAACAGCTTTGACTTTTTATATTTTAGAATGTTCTATACTATTAAAATAAATACAGTGGCATGCAAAAGTTTTGGTACCTGTGGTCAAAATTTCTGTTATTGTGAAGAGCTAATTGAGTAAAAGATGACCTGCAGCTGCATTACAGAAACATCTTAACTCTGAAATCTGATCCATGAGGACTTCAGTCTGGATCAGACAGTAGCTATTCCAGAATAACAGTTCCTACCTTCATAATCTCATCATCAACTCCAGATAAGAAAACAGCATCACACAAACATCCTAACTAGACTAAGCCTCCTAAATCCTGTCCTAACTTTAGGATGAACCCCAACAGGGTCCTCACTTCTGTTTAAGGTCCGTTTCTATGGTTTTTAGGCAGCTGTGTCAGCAGCATAGTTCACTACCAGCATAATGAGCTCCATTTATTCCTACTGTAAAACGCTGCTTTCACTGTGAGATGATTTTCTTTTCTAACTCTGCGTTTTAAAGATCTCAGACGCTGCAGACTCGATCTCCACCGCCCCTCTGATCACCTTCGTGTGTTAATGTTGATGATGAAATATTACAGTGATGGTGGTGAATAATGAGGAGACGGAGCTGAACGTGTGTCTGTTTATTAGGAGGAGTAACGTTAGCACGCTCGGCTAACGCATTTGGGAAATGGAGACTGAAACTGGGGATCGGCGATGCTCTGATAAACAGCAGGGGGCGCTCTCACAGTATTCTTAGTTTATCACACTTTAGTTTTGACTTTTTTTACATCAGTAATGGCAGCTGTGACTCACATTTTAACATTATTTTGATGACGTGTTTACGTTTCAGCTGTGTGTGTTTATGGTTGGTTGGTAGGAAACAGACATGACAGCTGATTGTCGACTCTGATCGAGTAGGTTAAGGTTTCCTAACTGGAGATAAGATGCTGTAAGATAAGACAAAATTCCTACACTAAGATCAGATTTGCTTCTGTAATATGAATTAGTGAAAAATCTTATCTTGAACTGTCAGATCTTAACTTGAGACTAAAGAGAGGAAGTTTCTCTAATACAGAACAACAGTAACAGACACACAGCACAGTTATTAAACTGTGTCAGAAAGCAATGCTGTAGAAGAACCACTTTTGGTTCCCCGATGAACATTCCAGTGCTTTTCCAGAGTTTCCATTCCAGAGTTTTTAAAAATTCATTTGTGCAAATGTGATGTGTGAGTGTGAGGAAACATTCTAAAGTCTTTAAAAACCCTCCATAATGTAAAATTCTATATCAATAAAAGTTTTTTTAAAGTACTGAACATCCAAGCCAAGCCAGAGTGCAGCAGAACGCTGAAGACAGTCCTCAGTGTTTATTCTCCTGTAAATGAATATGATGAATGTGGATGTTTTGGCAGTCGCTGTAATCATGACACCCAACTCTTCCTCCTCACAGCTGACCCAGTGGACGTCCTGAAGGTCCTAGACTTCCCAAGTTCTCCAGAAGGAGTAAAGCAAACACAGGGTTTCTGTGCCGTCAGGAGAGGATCCAAACCAGACGTGGCCTACAGGGTGGGGAAAAAGGCTCAGCTCAGCACGCCCACCAAGCAGCTCTTCACAGGTAAGTACACACCTGTCGCTTAGTAACAACAACAGCGCGACTTTTTGATGTGTTTCCGTGTTAAACAATACAATAATCAACCGCTACATTACTGTCAATTTATTGATTAAACAGGTCTGCAGTGCTTTCACATTATGTTCTTAAAGCTGAATAAACTGCGCACGAGTGGGCCGAGACCCTCATCAGCATCTCTGCTAGGGGTGGGAATCTTTAGGCACCTCACGATTCGATTCGCGATTGTAAAACGATTATCGATGCATCTCGATGCATCTTTTTTCTCTATACAGGATTTCTATCTTCCTACTATCTGAGGACTTGGTAGTTTTAAAGCAAAGTATTTGTAATGATCCATAATGTAAATGCATTACAGATCATTACAAATACTTTGCTTTAATTATCTAAAATATCTTTTATTAATAAATCAAATGGAAGTGATGTGGCAACTAGAAGGCTCTCATTCAGAGACGCTGCTGCCACTCATCTGCGATAAAATGCGCTGTTGCCCTGAAATAAGATCCAGTGGCAGTGGGTGTCCGCGCAGCACGTAGTGATCTTATAACTTCGGTTTTGGTCTCGTTGTGGGGGGGGGGGGCAGACAGCAGGTCACACAGCACCGAGGTCTGGCCTCACCAGTAGCTTTTCTCTTTCGAATTTTCCCGTTCCACCTTAAATGGTGCAGCAGTTACATTCGGACGCTGAGACATTTTACAAGAAACTCTTCCAGTTTTGAAGAAAAGTTTTCTGGCGGAGATGGGAGGAAAGCGGCTAAAGCTAAATCTTAAAGCAGAGCGGAGTAAATCTGCGCTCTCGCTTATATTTTTAGCCCATACTAGGACATTAACACGTACTGGACATTAAATGTTGTGGCTCCAAAGGTGGTTTGACTTTGTTGAAAGGACAAAATGTCTCTTCTTATCATTTGTGTTGTGACTCCTGACCTAACCTGGCTTTAATGCAGAGGGAGCCGGTCGGATTTCTCGCTCATCCAGTAGTGTTTTTGTTATGTGCCGCCACAGACTGTCCGGGCGCTGCACTTACCCACTTCCAGTTCCGCCTTTTGCGTTCCGTCAACATTACGTTATAAATTAAATATTTAGAAAATCGATTTTTGACACTTGTGAATTGATTCAGAATCGTTCACGTCCGCATCGCGATGCATCGAAGAATCGAGTTTTTCCCGCACCCCTAATCTCTACAATAATAAAAGAGCTTATTTGGTAACACATTGCTTTCATACACTCTTAAAAAAGGTTCTTTAGTAGAGACAGTGGTTTAATATAGATACCATGTACGTGATTGAAGGGTTCTTGGCATGGTGAAATGGTTCTTCATATTTATGGAGAATGTGTTGATTATGATTCTATATAGAACCTTTTTGAAAAGGGTTCTATAAAGCACCAAAAAATGTTGTCAACGTTGTACTAATAGCAGAATCCTTTTTTGGGGCCACATAGAACCATATACAACACTTTCATCACCATTTCATCAGGCAAAGAACCATTTTAGCATGCAAAGAGATTTATATAGAACTCACAACGATTACCTTTACTAAAGAACCCTTAAAGAACCATTTTTGTGTGTTTGGTGCTATATAGAACCATTTTCAAAGTTCTTCAGATTAATGGAGAATGTGTTGTATATGGATCTATATACCACCAGAAAAGGGTTCTTCTGTTGTCACAATGTTAAGCTTGTAATAAGAAAAGAACGCTTTTAGGTGCTATATAGAACCCTTTTCAAAAATGTTTAATCATGCAAAGGGTTCTTTGAGTGTTCATGGTTCTATATAGGGCCATTTTCTATGCTAAAGAACTCTTTTGAACCATCTTTTTCAGTAGAATTTTATATTTGCTATAGTAACAAAATCTCATATCTCTGAAATACGAGATTTTGTTACTATAGCAAATATAAAATTCTACGGAATAGTTCAAACTGTGCTGAAATTGAAATTGAAACTTTATTTGAAAAGCAGAAAACACATTTTAAAATATATTCTTGCAATTAGATTTAATACAGCATTTAATACAAACACAATGCATTGTAGCTTATGCATATTTCAGAAACAGTAACTTTAAAGGTGAAGCAAAAAAATGTTCTAAAATTAAAATAGATGTTAATTAATTTTGCACCATTTCTGCTGAAATTTTCACACAATGTAAAGAACAGCTGGAGTTTTCAAAATAGTGATTTATGAGGTTTGACATGACAATAAATCAAACAGTACACAGAAGAATCCATCTCAGCTCTCAGAGTTCATTACGAACTCTGCTACATCACCTGTATCTGTTATAACGGCCTCAGAGGGCCATTAAAGCTGCTTGTTGCTCTCCTGCTAATGACAGGATGTGCTCATTTACTAAAGTCTCGTTAACAGAGGGTTTCCAGTCTGAGTGATTTGGGACTCTTCCAAACTGGCCAGACTGCAAAGGAAAAAAAGGGACACAAAAAAGCCGCAGTTTGAATTAACAATTACATTTCTGTGATTTTTGGCTGAAATCAATTTTCAAAAATTCAGCAAATAAATGTATTTTTATTAGAATTCGGAGAAGAGAAATGTCTCCCTGGAGGTGAGTGGAGAACCTCCATCACAGGCCTTTCAGTTTGTTTTCTCTCTGCTGTCGCTGACATCATTCGTTGTTAAACCCACTGTTCCTCTTACAGCTTATAAACTTAATGTGGCAACAGAAAAGACAATTAAACTACTATTCCAGTTTAATTCGTCCCCTGTGAAGAGCTCGAGTTCAAAGGGGCTTTTATGTTGTATTATAATACTTACTGTGTTCAAAGTGTGGCTAGACTTTTGATGTAACATTTCATATTTAACATTACACATTTAATTTATTACATAGTACTTTAAATGTAATTACACAATTACATACAAAATTGCATAGCTAATTAATGAATTACATTAATTAATTAATATGATTAATATGATTTCTATTCTGTGTGAACATGTTTGAGTCTGCACTTCTTTCCATTTATTTACAAAAATTACATTTCAAAAAATGTAAAATATAAAAACATGGCAAAAACATAAAGATCAATCTGAACTGTAGTTTAAATGAATGTTCTTCATATTGATGGAGAACGTGTTGTATATGGTTCTAGATGGCGCCAAAACCGATTCTGCTACTTGTATAAGCTTAACATCATAATAGTACAAGAACACTTTTTGGTGCAATATAGACCCATTTCAAAAAGGTTCTATATAGAACCATATGCAACACATTCTCTGTCAATCTGAAGAACCATTTCACCATGCAAAGAACCATTTAAGCATTCAACTGGTTCTATATAGAACCCATGGTTCTTAATAGAACCATTCCCTTTACTAATGAACCCTTGCAGGACCATCTTTTTAAGAGTGTAATAGAAGAACCCTTTTCGGTGCTATATAAAACCATTTTCAGGGTTCTTCAGTTTGATTGAGAGAATGTGTTGAATATGGTTCTATATGGCACCAAATAGGGTTCTGCTGTTGGTATAATCTTGAAATTCGAATAGTAGAAGAACACTTCTTGGCGCTATATAGAACCCTATACAACACATTTCCCATCAATCTGAAGAACTTTTTCACCATGCAAATAACTATTTCAGCATGTAAATGGTTCTACACAGAACCATTCCCTTCAGGAGTGAGCCCTTGAAGAACCACCTTTTGAAAAGTGTAATAGAAGAACACTTTTGGTGTTTTTTCAAAACGGCTTCATCAAAAATCAGTCTGGACATGACAAAAATCAGATTTAAGCTGGCAGTCTTATCCAGGCCAAAGTGGCTCAGATCTGATTTGAAAAGGTCAGATTTGTGTGTCCACACTGCTCTGAAAACACCAGATCTGAGTCACATTAAGGCCAAAAACCAGATTCAGCCCTGTAATGTGAACATAGCCTTAATTTCTTCTTACTAATTGCATATAAACCACAAATGGCGCCCAGGTCACATGTGGCTCTTAACGTTTTATCTGTTGAATCTTCAGGTGGAGTCTTCCCTGAGGACTTCTCCATCCTCATGACCATCAAGCCTAAGGCTGGAGTCCAGTCCTTCCTGCTGTCCGTGTATAATGAGCAGGGAATCCAGCAGCTCGGCGTGGAAGTCGGCCGCACTCCGGTATTCCTGTATGAAGACCAGCATGGAAAACCAGCCCCGGAGGACTACCCCTTATTCCGTACCATCAATCTAGCTGACGGAAAGTAAGTAAACATTCAGGCATGACATTTGCACTGAAATGGGATAGTATTGAATTTCCTGTCATGAAGTCAGAGACCAAAATTATGGGATATTATACAACACTTTGGTTGAAAAGAGCCCATTTTCACCATGTTTTAGTGTTCTGCTGAGTCAGTATTAACATATCCCTGCAGTTTGGCAGTTTATCGCCTCTCCCACTCGCCCCAAACCCCGCCTCCGGCCTGCCAAAAAAATAAATTTAAAAAATAAATAAATTGTTTTTTTGAGGGAACATTTACACTGTTTGTATCTTGATGAACGGAAAATGTACCTGAACAGAACCTTTATTTCTAACAGTGTACAGGCTGGATTCTGACTAACGTAGATAGATAGATAGATAGATGGATGGATGGATGGATGGATAGATAGATAGATAGACAGACAGACAGATAGAGAGACACACAGATAGATAGATAGCAGAACTTTATTGATCATGTAGGTAAACTGCAGTGTTACAGTACCAAGATATAATTGCACATAAACTTAATAAATAAATTAGGCAGAAATAAAAAAGGATAAAAGTTAAAGTGTGAGAGAGTAGAAATTGGAGTATATCTATTTGCATATTTACACAATTTGCATATTTATGTAATAATAATCAAACACACACAAAAGAAACCCCTGTATATTTAATGGACCTTTGCATACGAAGCTGAAGTGACCAGCAACTGAAAAGTTGCTTCTCTAAAAGCCCTTAAACAGGAGGGAAGACAGTCACTGATAACTAAACTAAATGATTATTGTGTTTATATTTCATATCACACACCATATGCACTCCTGTAACTTTCACCAGCAAAAAAAATAAATACCAAAGAAAAAAAAAAAGATTATGGTAGTGATGGTAATGAGCTCAACCCCGCGGGAGGCATCACATGACCGCGGTTACTGTCACAGCCCTATTTTGAGGTTTTATACTGTGTGTGTCATTAAAACTGGTACACATCCCACCCACTTTCACACCTAATGAGATTAAAGCTCGATTCAATATTTTTGGCCATTAAAACGTCCAGCCTATGTGGGACCACCGCATGGCTCTCTGAGTCAGGATGTTTGAGATGGACTCTGCACCTCTCTCGGTGTTTTGTAGTGAGTCCAATTCTGCTTTTTGCTATGGATTTTGGGAAGGTCTGAGAGCCGCTGTTGGAGCCGGGCGTGTGGTTTTTGGCCTCTACCTTTATGATCATTTCCACCCTGCGATTCCCAACGCTGAGCTGTTTCATAACCTGCGCTTAGGAGAAATCTGAAGTGCTTCTGTGGTTGCAGAGTGGAAAATGTTTAAGAAGGACAGTGTCTGACCATCGATACCTTACGATGTTCTAAAGCATCACTGTCATATTAGTGACGTTCTCCAACCGACCACAAGTTCTGTGCTACATTCACTCTTAAAAATAACAGTGCAATAAAATCTATTCTTCAGTCAAGCTTGACATCATAACAATGGAAGAACCCTTTTTGGTGCTATATAAAATAATTTTTGAAGAAGGTTCTGTTTAGAACCATATACAACACATTCTTCATCAATCAGAAGTACACTTTCACCATGCAGAGCCATCTAAGAGTGCAAATGGTTCTATATAGAGCCTTTGTCTTTACTAAAGAACCCTTGAAGAATGATCTGCTTTAAAAGTGTAATAGAAGAACCCTTTCTGGTGCTGGTTCTTCGGAAATGGTTCTTCAGATTGATGGAGAATGTGTTGTATATGATTCCATATAGAACCTTATTGAACTCATTCTTCCTCAGTCCGATCAACCATTTCACCATGGAGAGAACCATTTAAATATGTAAATGATTATTTGAGTGTTGATGGTTCTATATAGAACTTTTATCCTTACTAAAGAATGCTTGAAGAACCATCTGTTGTAAGAGTGTAAGAGAAGAACTTTTTTTGGTGCTATATTTACATATATATATACAACACATTCTTCGTTAATCCAAAGAACCATTTCACCATGCAAAGAACCGTTTAAGCATGCAAATGGTTCTTTGAGTGTTCATGGTTCTATATAGAAACACTGTATTTACTAAAGAACCCTTGAAGGACCATCTTTTTGCGGTGGAGGTTTTTCAGATTGATGAAGAATGTGTAAATGTGTAAATAGAGCTTTTTGGAAAATGGTTCTATATAGCACCAAAAAGCGTTCTTCTACTGTTAGAAGCTTGACATGATAACAATAGAAGAACCCTTTTTTGGTGCTATATAGAACCATATACAACAAATTCTCCATCAATCTGAAGAACAATTTCACCATGCAAAGGACAATTTAAGCACAAAATGATTCTGTACAGATCCTGAGGTTCTAAATAGAGCCATTCCCTTTACTGAAGAACCCTTTTTAAGAGTGTAGGATAAAGTAAATACAGCTAGATTCTCTCATCAGGTCTGCATTTCAGAGCTACATTCATCAACAATCACCGATACAATCACACAAGAGTAATTAATGAATCAGCCAAACTGAAGCTCCTTGATCTCTATAAAAAACACAGTTACATTTTAACAAGATCTCTCTTTGTATTAGAATCAGTCTGTCTGATCAAAGCAGCTCAATCAGTTTGCATCAGAATGTGAATCAAAGAGTTTTTGGCTGATAAATCATTTTCTCTGAAGTATTTGCACAACATATTTCAGTTTGAGAAAACAATCATGACGCAGCTTCGTCAGAGAAGCGAAGCTGAATGGCCGCTTTGTGAAACGACTCTAATTGATTCAGTATGAGAGGCAGAATTCAGCTCAGACAGTGACAGAAAGCATGTGTGTCGAAATGAGAGCGTTTCTGTAAGTTCTTCTTTGGAGGTTTTGGTTAAGAACGTCCTCCACCGCACAGTCCCAGCCTCAACAACAACGCTCACTTACTCAGCATGTGAAGGAAACATCTGTTTAATAGAGCTGCAGAGTGACAACGAAATCATATCGGTCCTGGCCAAAGCCTGGTGGGGCACAATAAACTGTAGTGCAGCAGTGACCCGTCAATGAAACTACACACGAACCTGATCCAAACACAAACGCACTCCATCAATGGAATCACACATTCACAAATTAACGTAATGGTGCAGGAGTTGGCGGAAGTGGAGAAAATGAGTGATATGATAACGACATTACAGATCTCACAAAACCTGGTTACACAGCATCGCATTACAAATCCAAAGTTCATCTATCAGTATATGATCACTGTGGCCTGCAGCTACATATCCAAAGCAACATATCAGAGCAGGGAAACGCTTTCTGGGCACTTGGAATAACACGCTGTAGCACGGCTTGTGCTACCCTGGAGACAGGGTAAACGGGATTCGCTGGGACTGGAGGCTTGAGGGGGGGGTGAGAGGGGGGCTCCTGCCCCCACGCACACTGAGGGTTGACCCTTACCACCTGCAGCTCTTCAAGCTGCTTCCATCGCTTTTCAGCATCATGGAAACAGCCAGGCGCAGGTGGACAAGGCTCTTGATAGCTTCCTCTTCTGCCATGGAGACTCCCTCAGTGTGTTGGAGTCCTCCTCCCGGGTTTCGGCACCAGCGTAGCACGGCTTGTGCTACCCTGGGCTCAGGAAGGACGCTGGGATCAGGGTTGCAGCAGCCATTTTAATTCAAAGAGGGTTCTTCAAAAGGGTTCTTCTATTGTAACCATGTCATGCTTGTTACAATGGGGGACCCTTTTTTGGTGCTACATAGAACCCTTTTCACAAAGGTTCCATATAGAACCATCTACAGCGCAATCTGCAGCAATCTCAAGAACCCTTTCACAGTACAAAGAACCCTTTCATCTTGATATGGGTTCACTGAGTGTTCATGGTTCTATATACACCCATTTTGTTTAGTAGAGAACCTTTGAAGAGCCATCCTTTTAAGAGTGTAGACATTGCTTATTAGCCTATAATATGGTAGGTTTTTTGAAAAAACAACAAAGAAAACATCATCTTTAAAGGCTGTGTGTGAGTGTGTGTGTGTGTAGTGTGTGTGTGTGTGTGTGTGTGTAGGTGTGTGTGTGTGTGTGTGTGTGTGTGTGTGTAGGTGTGTGTGTGTGTGTGTGTGTGAACTGTGTGAACTGTGTGAACACATCTAACATGTTCCTCGCCCTTCAGGTGGCATCGCGTGGCGATCAGCGTGGAGAAGAAGTCCGTCACCATGATCGTCGACTGTAAGAAGAAGGTCACCAGGCCACTGAACAGAAGTGACAAGGCAATCATTAACACCGACGGCATCACAGTCTTCGGCACCAGGATCCTGGATGAGGAAGTCTTTGAGGTAAGAACCTTTTCTGTGTCTGTTAGTCTGTCCTGTTCTGCTCCGTTTGCTATGGGCCAGTTTCCCCACAGCCGTCTCCATGCTGGTAGGTGAGCTGTAGCTCTGTGCTCTGATGGAGCTCGTCTCATCACCGTTACTGCAGATACAGCCCTGCAGGAGGATAAACACCAACAACACAGACCAGAATGACCACAAACACATGAACAGATATGTGGACATGAATGAGAAACGTTAGTTATATCAACTAGACTTAAGAAAATTTCACTTACCAAAATATCATTTTTGCAGTGAGAAGATTAGCCTGATTGGTGGATCTGTATAACTTGCACATCTCCAGAGTTCAGAACATTCCAGTGTGAGATAATTTACAAAAACTAATAAAAGTGGCCACCAAAGTTGCCAAAGCTCTTAAATAATAAATCCATACACAGTTATAAAGCGCTTTTTATTTGGCTTCTTCTCATTTGAATTTTCCATTCCACATTAAATGGAGCTGCAGTTACACTGAAGTGCCTCAAGCGTAGAACGTATTTCTAAAAAGATGCTGGTAAATATGAAGCTACATAAGCTTACCTCAATAAATGCATTCATATATCCTCAATAAATGCTCCTTAATCAGGAAATACCTTAAACTTTGGCTTGTAAATGTTTAATGAGCATCTAATGAGCAGCTCAGCAGAGCTGTAATCAGACACTGGAGCTGCTGGACTGTTGATCGCGTCTCACTGGCTGATCTAACGCCGCGTCCCAAACCACGCACTTCTGTCCTTCACCTACTGCACTAAAGAGTGCACTGCTGATGCTGCAGTTACTGCTTTTTGCCTTTAGCTCAGAGAACCAGCTGAAGGAGTCTCTAAAACTCACTCAGTCATTTCAAACTTTTACTCTCTGACCACCATCAGGCAGCCTGGAACTGTTTTAGCTGAGTTTATTTTTTCCTTTTCCTTTTTATTTACTTTTGTTATTTTTTATTTTATTTCATCTTGCTATTTAATTGCAGCTGTTTTATTTGAGGTTAATTCTTTTAGTGTTCTGTTTTAATAAACAATTTTATCTTTTAAAAGATTTTTAGTTTTCTTATGGCTTATTATCTTAGTTGGTTCTTTTACTTACTTTTAATGTGTTTTCATTATTTTTTTATTTCTATTTTATATCTGTTTTTGAGCTGTTATTTTCAATTCTATAAAATTGTCTTGTCTGGCTGATTTAGATTTGTTTTAGTTGATAAACTTCATCATAACTTTTTTTTCAATCCCTGTTTAACTCGCTTGGCTATGAGCATTGCTCGAAAGAAAGTTTGATTGATTGACTGATTGATTGATATGCGGTTTGGGACGGGGCGCTAGTAACCAGCAAGAAATCTCAGCCGTTTAGATTTCAGCTTTCATTTATTATCACTACAGCAACAAATCAAATAAAATCAAGTCAGTACACTCAACTACATCAGTTAATAAACTCTAAAAGTGAGATTTAAAAAGTGTTCCCAAAAAATAGTTTTACTGCTATAGATATGTTATAACTTTGTTTTCTCATTACAAACAGCCACATCGCTGCTATATGAACCTGAAGTTGCCTACCAAAATGGTGGCAGTGTGATTTGTGGTGTCATCGGAAGGCCATTAATAAGCACCATGCAAGTCATCAATACTTGACTCTATCCATGTACTCACATACAGTACTGTGCAAATGTTTTAGGCACCTGAAAAATTATAACTAACTGTGCTAACTGTTTATTAAACACTAATTAAGTATTGATATTAATATTTTAATTATATTATAAATCAATAGTAATTAATATGCAATTTCTTTTTTTCCTTTATTTTTCTCATTTTCCAATTACTATTAAATAACTTTCAGAGGGGAAATACAAACGAATACAAACGTAACTAAAGAACAAAGGATGTCTAGCAGTCTAGTACCCATTTACTAACAGCACCATTTTACAAACATCAGCAGTTACAGACTAATACATCATATTTCACACTTACAGATCCACTTAATTGATTGTTCTAGTTGCCCTAATGGGGTATTTTTAGATCCATTTCTCCCAGAATTTTGTAAAGTATTCCATCCTCAGTTGTGACATAAATGTAATTCTTTCCAGTGAATAAATTTGAGGACAATTTCAATCCATCGTTTTTTTGTCGGGGGATCCTGCTGCATAAATTTCCCACTGAAATGATATGTTCTAAGCTGTACTGACTCCACACACCCCGTCTCGTCTCCAGGCTTTTATTTTACTGTTCTGTTTAAAACATTCGGTTATGAAAAGGTACAAATACGAACTTTTCACCTGGAGAAACTTATTTAAGGTTCACAACTGGACGAAAAGTGTACCTGCACAGAACCTTTTCTCACAGTGTATATACTTCAATATCAATCTCCTGTTATCCTTCAGCTTGTAGACATTAATAAATGTCCAAATCAGATCATCGTTGGGTAAATCAATCCTTTTCAGTCCTAAAATAATTTCTAATTTGTAAATATCTATAGAAATTTTACTTATCTAATACTTATCTTTACTTATCTAATACTAATATGAAATTTCTGACAGTGTATAAAATCCTGTTATTGATAAAATTTGACAAAAATATTTTGCGATGCTAAAAACTGTAGTAGCCGTCTTGATATAGATAAGGGTATGTTGTACAGTGTGCTTGCTTGTTAGCTATGTTAGCCTAATGGCTCCAGGAGCAAACACACCACGTACATCTTAAATGAAAAATAAGAAACAGAAAAATGTGTGAATTTGATTTTGTGAGTTCAAACTGAGCCTTCAACATGGTGGAGGTAGTATGAAGGGAGACTGATTGAGGGAGGGGGCAGAACTCTCAGAACTTGGGCTGGAGTTCTGGGCAGCTTCTGCCTGTAGCTAGAAGGCCAGACCCCCTCATAGCTGGAGTAGGACTGATGCAGGACTGAGGAACAGGGGGGAAAGGGGGATTGGACACTTCGTCACGGGAACCAAAAGTGAGGATGTGAATTTTTAGAGGGTTAGATTGAAAGAAGAAGTAGTTTCAGCCATGCTCCTCCCCCCAAACTTCAGTTATAACATAACTACGTTTTTAGGCTATTGCTTTTAACCCAGTCTGGGACTAAACTCGATGTGATTCACCAGTAAAAACGCTTGTTTAGTCTGGAGTTTGGCGCGTTTGGGAAACTGACCCTGTAAACCTGCATCTCTGTGGATGAGCAGTTTGTGAGGCTGGTTTATGACTCAAACCTTGCACATCATTCCTGATCCATGTGAAAACAAGCTGAGAATGAGGCTGCGGTCACTGCTGGTCACTTATGTGTGTGTCTTTATGTGAACTACTGAATGCTCAGTGTAGTTTCAGTATGAGAAACAAAACAATGCCTTTGATGTGTACACGGAGATAAAGACTTTGGCAGTTGCGCCATGTGCTGCATTCTTTGACGGATATTTAGCTCTTGTGAAATTGGAGCAGCGGTGCCACCAGTCTGCGAGCCAGAGGGTACAGAGGTCATTGGGAACTGATGTGATTTATGGCCAAGTCAGATGGTGATCGTTACGACTTGATGGCTTTCAGTTCAACGCTAAATGATCGGGCATGGTAACGGGGTTTAATTGGCCATAAATCAATAACGGAGTTCTTAATCACTAAAGCTCATATAAAACATCATATCTTGATTTAATGCCTGAGATTTGGTCACATCCAAACACTGAGACTGACGCTGCACAATTTTCTTAAAAAACAGTCAATTTTACGGAATAATCATAACGATAAGCAGCGGTGCCAGTGTAAGAATATGGCAGCGATGAATCAAATTGCAGTGAAGCTTTATATTTGATTGCACTAACCAAACTTTCGGATGCATAAACTGGAATTTATGGTCGGAATACCGAAAGGAATTTCCACCTGCTGTTGTCCTGTCTCAAACAAACCCATAAAAGGGAAATCGATGGATGCTATAAACCTCTGAAAACAGGCCCCACTGTCTATTACAGGCCCAGAAACAAAAGAGTTTTCTATAAAAACACAAAGCGATGCCATTATTGTCTTCTTTAAGGAAGTGGCGCATGGATGCGTATCAGTCTGACTGTGCTAGGCGAAGAATTAACCTGCATGCTAGCCTGTAAGACAATATCTCGCTAGCGTCTCTTTGAAGTGAGCTGGAGGAATGTTGTTTAATAAGAACAGGCTGCTAAATGTTTGCCTCCAGGTCAAAGATGTCTTGGAACACAGAAGCCTCTAGAAAATATGATCCCACTTCCTCTCTGAGACCCTGTTAGCCAGACACCGCAGCTAACAATGGATTAAATCTGCAATCTCTGACACTTAGCATCATCTCAGTTAGCGCAACAAACCCTCAGAAGCTTTATATCTGTGCTAAATATTACATAGAGCTGGGCAACATGACAGGATTTATTGTTACGGTGATAAATTACATTCTAGTTTGTCCCAATTTGCTTTTCTAAACATATTATGGACATTGTTAGTACTTTAAAACACTTCCTAAGTGCTTTTTTGATTTAAAAAAGGCCTAATTAGTCCCGTTTAAGTGAATTTAGTGCAGCACAGTGTGTAAAATGTTACATACAAATAATTTGATTAATAGATTTTATCTTTTTATCTTTTAAATGTGGCACTACTTTGTCTTTTCTAACTGATCAGATGCCAAATATATATATATATATATATATATATATATATATATATATATTGTGACATGCATTGTAAACTTTCTGAAGTATCGTGATATGACATTTTGCCATATCGCCCACCTCTAATTTTACTACTGAAATATATCTCAATCAATAAGTGCAATATTTCTCATTAGGAGATTGTTGGAATATTAATGGATATTTAAGCCTTTTCTTACACATTTTTATTCGTTTAATTTCCAAGTAAACATATTTCTAAACGGAATAATGAGAAATATGAGTCATACTGACTGATTTCACTTGCTAAATTTGCAGTGCGAACCTGAGTAAGATGGAGGAATGATTTTATTAATAATGTTCTAAGTCAAGAAAT